TTATATTTAATCAATATTCAACTGGCATTTCAAACAAATATTTATTAAAATTTGATAAATTTTTCTTTCAGCGTAATACAATATTTTGTACATACACTTCGAAACAGTCACGTACGACATACATGTTATATAATCTCGAGCTGTTTGAAGGTTGAAAGAGGAACGTTATGAAAAGGCTTGTTTTTATTGTGCTTGGGAAAAGACATCATTCCTTACAATTTTCGAGACGAGAAATCTGATATTGTTAGTTTAAAAGGAACACATAAAAATCGAGTTTAACTCAAGAACAGTCACCTGGCACATGTTTTATACCCAGTGGCAAGAAAGAGTAAAAAAAAGTATTATTTTTTTTCTTTTTAGACGCATTTTCTTTCTTTTTTAATGAACTATTTTTTACGAATCTTTAAATATTCAATTGGATCAAAAATCCGTAATAAAAAAATGATGCGCATTCGTATTTAATTACATTAATTAAAATCTATATTACATTATATAGATTTTAATTAATTATATTAATTAAAATCTATTTTATGTTATACTATATATTAATAAAAAGTGATGTACATTCGCGCCGTGCGTATTTAATTATACTAATTAAAATCTATATTATATTATATAAACTTACATTAATTAAAATCTTCATTTTTTAATACTTTCTTAATAATCTACTTAATGCTTATTCCGCTACATGCTTATTCCGTTTAATACTTATTTGATTTCTACTTACTTTTTTTAAGTTATGATTAAATCCATAATGTTACTAAATAAACAGAAAAATAATCAATATAATATATTGTTAATAATAGTGATTTTTTAATTAGGATGTAAAAACACATCAGATGATCAGATTTATGTAAAAAAAGAGCCTACTCCCAAGTTGAAACCAGGAAAACGCGTAACGTCACAATAAAGACAAATCGCCATGCCATATATCTGTATCGATGATACACAGTGTGTTACATCATATTTTGACATTCAAAATATAGACTATCTTATGGCGAATTCGATGGAAGCACTAATGCACACTGGTGCATATTAAAGCTGTTGTACACTGATTTAATTTGAGTATAAAAATGAAATGCAAATATTTCGAATTATGAAATACATATTTTACCTACACGGGAAAAAATTTGAGTTTGTGACGATTCCAGAGCGACTCGAGCCCCCATCGCACGTTACAGGCGGTTGTGTCGAATCCAGTGTGGAGTTGTTACAGTTCCATATTGAAAGCAGCGTGATACAGTAGTTTTCACGATTTCACGACCACCATAAGAGGTGTGTTTGCGCCACTTCAGCGCTATCTCCTCTCCAGTAGTGATTAAGCTATATCAACACATAATAGGCGTTGTGTTGAATCCATCCTAGAGTTGCATGACTGCAATCTTTGCCGGCGCTGGAGCTGGAGCGGCTCCAGTGCGAGTTGTTTGGGCTCGATAGTTACGCGAGCCGCCCTATCTCCAATTCCGAACTTCTCCCTCACCGCATTGGTCTTGTGCTAACTCGAAGAATCGCTGAATCGCGCTAGCTTGAACCATGAAGTCGTAGCAAACACAAATTTTCCTTGTGTGGAGCTGGAGCGACTCCAGTGTGAGTTATTTGAGCTCGGTAGTCATGCGAGCCGCCCTATCTCCAATTCTGAGCTTCCTCCTCTCCCTATTGATCATGTGTTAACTCAAAGATTCGCCGAGCCACGCTAATTCGAACTTTCGAGTTGTAGCAAATCCAAATTTTTTTCCGTGTAATAGTACAATAAAATGTATTGAGTATTTCCCGATGTAATCGATTTCTATGTTTATTTATAAATATATCTTTACGTTATTTTGTGTACGACGACTTTAATGTACACCAGTGCGCACTGAGTGCGTTCAATCAAATTCGCCATTAGTTTGCTATTTAACCTTTGAATATCTATAAGTTTAAAGATACGCGAGTTGGTATAAATGGAGTACTCACTCAGAAAACCCCAAAAATTTTTTAATATGTTTTAATAATATCATATTATAATTATAAATTTACATTTAGTTATACCCTTATAAGGTAGAAGAATATAAAAATAATGAACTTTCAGACTTCCGGGCATCTAAGCATACTTTTTGTTTTCGTCTTCCGAGACAATTTTAAAGAAAACTACACGTGGGCTGTGGTAGCCTACCTACCTACCCATTTAAAGATTAATAGCGAAAATATCAAACAACTGAAAGTTTCGTGCGCTTGTACAAACATGTTCGAGTCAGCTGTAGTCACTAGGAGAAGCTGACATAAACTTGTTCAAGTATACGGAAACTTTCTTTTAATATTTTCGTTATTAAATGCAATATTTTTATAAAATATTTCATATTTTTAATATCCACGTGCAGTATATTACATCATCGATACATGTACTTACAATTATCGTTTGAGAATGACTGACGTAACGCACTTTCCCGATTTTTTAAAATTCAATTTTTTATGCGTTCGTCATTACATATATACATATAACGTAATTTTAACTAGCATTGTTGAATTTCTCGCCTCAAAAACTATAAGAAATAATGTCTATTATAGGTATATATTTTTCTCAAGTACAACAAAACAATTTGCCTCTCTCTCTCTTCTCTTTTTGTAATACTTTTCTTTATTTATACTTAACTGAAATTGTTAATTATATACGTATAAAAATTTTCAGTATAATAAAAACGTTATTACAAATTTTCTGAAAATCACTAACTTATTAATAACTTTTTATTGTTACAAAAAGCCTGATGTCTGTTTTATAATTAGTTGTCATTACAAACAGAGTAATTACATCTTTCTCACGCATGTTTTCATCATTATTTAACCTAATCTAACTTTTCACAACATAATTTAAATGATATATATCAGATTAATGAACAGCAGCTGTTACATAACTTTAAAAATTCTTTTTCATAACATAAATGTACGTAATAAAAGTTTAAACTTTTCTTCCTATATTAATAATTAAAAAAACAAACTATAATATATTAATATTAATTAAAGAATTGCACGTACAGTTACGTTGCATTACAGTTAAGTACGAATATATTATGCATCTAATAGTCCTATTAGTATTACTGTAATTTTTGCAAATATAAAAAGATTTTTCCCTCTATCTCTCTTTTTATTTACTTTTACTTTTCTAACGAAAACATATATCTCTTTCTCTTATTTCTTAAATCAACCTTATAACTAAAAACTGTTTCTTTTTTTGCTACTGCAGATAATATAAACGCTTGAGATCGACCTGCTTTGTAAATACAGGAAAGTTAGTACTGTTTAAATTAGCGTTGAGTAACATATATAAACGAGAAAGTTAATTAAATGCATTTAATTAGTAACAAAGTGAATGTAACGAATAATAACGAAGTTTATTCTTTTGCATACTGTGTTGAAACCAAATTGAAAAAAATATTATAGAGTTACAAAGAAAAATAGAGTTTTATGTTTGCAGGATGGACGATATCTGAATAATTAAATTAAAATCTTGACAAACAAAATTCGAAGTGACCTTCATGCTTGCATTTTATGTACATCGAAGTATTTTATGTACTCCAAAATAATTATTAAAAGTTACTTTTTAATCAAACAATAACGATTCATTTTGATATCAATGCACATATTAAATCAATTAACATTGTAATTATACAATAAGTATAACTGATTATTTCTTTTTAAACTAATAACAATCCTTTGTTATGTTTTGTATGGAATAATTTCATATCTAACTTATCAAATGTCGATTAAATTGTTTTGCTGAACAATCGATGCATGCATGTATACTTTCCGTTGATAATATTTTGCTACAGATAACAATTATACATTTTACTAAATTTTGATTATTGAGATTAGTGGATATTGATCGAGATTTGGCTGATTCGTGATTCATAAAATTCTGTCTTTAATTTTACTTAAAAAGAAGGAAAAGAGTTCCCGATCTGAATGTTAAGAAATTAAAAACAATTATTTATAAATGCTGTTAGTGATAACATAGAATGACATGGATACGTTTCATTTCATGCACGATGTGCATGATGTATCATTTTATCCTTTTTATTCGGTGAACAACAAGAATAAAATGATACATCACGAATGCCTTCCATTTATAGTGACACAAATATCGTTCCATCTTTCTATGCATTCCATGAGTAACAAAGATGGAACGATATTTTGTCATTAAATAGAAGGCATCTTATGTGTATTATTATACTTGAAATGAAACACATTCCGATGAATTGCTCCAGCCAGAATAATGCACGCTACAGACCGATAGACGTAAAGCTGCCAAAGTGAAGGAAAACATTATGAATCTTTTATCGATAAAATACCCAATATTTATTCTGCCAAATAACGTGACATTTTGAGCCTTTCATTATTCAAATGCTTGCAGTATATCTCTAGCTTCCTGTATAGCAATGTATTGTGGCCTTGTGGCCTTTAACGTATATTCAGTGTAGGTACAGGATACTATAGCGAACCCGCATCTCGCCGCGTCACCCACGAAAGGAGGTTATGTTCAGTTCAGATGTCGCCGGTCGCGCCGTGCGAGCGAGAAATCTGGAGAAATCTAGAAAACGTATTGCAGGTATTGCTGCGTATTGCTGTCGACGCCGACAGTGCCGACTCTGGGCTACTCTGGAGTGTTTTGGAGATTTGGTGAGATTATACCGAATTTCATCAGGCTTGGTGAGCATCGCGATGGATTGAGGATTAGCTAATCTTATACGAGAAGCACGCAAAGACGCTACGAAAAGTCGTGCATATTATCGAACTCTGTATGTGCGAACGTGTCTCGATCTGCGACAATCTACGTAGAAGAGAAAGGTTAGGATTCCTTGTCTACGTAACAAGTGAACGAAAAGCAAGGAGATTGATCGTGTATATAAGGCAAGTTTTTTAAAATTCCAGTTCCATGCGCAACTGCAACTCTGCTTCATTTGCACATAATGCAATTGATCGATTGATAAATTAAAAAACTCGCTTATAATTATAAACAGTTGTGCAGATACATCAGATACTGCTCCGTACTACGAATCGAAACAATAACTAGGATTACGACATGAGCACTCAGCAGAGCCCAGCTGCGCTGCAATCCACCGTCGATCGTGAGAAGGTATACACATGGATAATCGAGCTATCGAATCCAGAGACAAGAGAGAATGCTCTTCTGGAGTTGAGCAAGAAGCGCGAGGTAGTACCCGATCTGGCACCCATGTTGTGGCACTCGTTTGGCACTACAGCCTCTCTCCTTCAGGAGATCATTAACATTTATCCAGCGATCAACCCTGCGACTCTCACCGCTTATCAGAGTAACCGGGTTTGTAATGCCTTGGCACTGCTGCAATGTGTAGCCAGTCATCCAGAAACGAGATCTGCATTTTTACAAGTAAGATTATTCTATGATTTAAATGTGCTAAAATTCTCTCCTACTAACTAAAAAGTTGATATAAATATTGATAATATTTAAAATATAATAATTATTATTATTATTATACTGGATGTATTATATCTGTTTCATGAGCAAAAAGAGGAGAGTTTTATTTAATAAATCTATGTATAATAGAACTCTATTTATCTGCATTCCATTTGTACAAACAAGTTTATGCTTAGATTCAAATATCCGAACTCATAGCTGAGCTCTTATTATCTGAACAAAACGCCATAGTACTGTAATTACGAATAATAAAGTTCAATGTGCTTGACTCCAGTTTTCTGAACATCAGTTCCTATTATAGGAAATAAGTATTGATAGAGATGAGAATTAGTAAACCTCTATTATCTGAATCATTCGATTATCGGAACTGTCTTGTCCCAGGAAAAGGACAAACAGAGTTGTACTATACAACTAAAAGTATATATTTATAAAATATCACATATGTTTTATTTCAGGCACATGTTCCATTGTTCTTGTATCCGTTTCTGCACACCGTAAGCAAGACACGCCCATTTGAATACCTTCGCTTGACAAGTCTTGGTGTGATTGGTGCACTGGTCAAAACCGATGAGCAAGAAGTGATCACCTTTCTTCTTACTACCGAGATTATCCCGCTTTGTTTACGGATTATGGAGAGCGGCTCGGAATTGAGTAAAACTGTGGCAACATTTATATTGCAGAAGATACTGTTAGATGACAGCGGCCTCTCCTATATCTGTCAGACCTACGATAGATTCAGTCATGTTGCCATGATATTAGGAAAAATGGTTTTATCATTAGCCAAAGATCCTTCTGCAAGATTGCTTAAACATGTAGTACGGTGTTACCTAAGACTCTCTGATAATCCGAGGTAAGTATCAGAATACGTGCGAGATACGTTCTTAGAAATCCCGAAAAATTTTAATGACGATTAATTTTGCAGAGCACTGTTAGCTCTGAGGCAGTGCTTACCGGATCAGCTGAGAGATAACACATTTGCGACATGTTTGCAAGAAGATGCTTCAACCAAGCATTGGTTGAACTTGCTTCTTAAAAATCTCGAGGCCGGTCCGCAACAGCCAGGTCCACCGACTCAGCCGGGCCAACAAGATCCCAGAACGATTGGTATGTCACCACTTGCATCTTAAAGTATTCTCTTTTTTGACTATCATATCATATTTGACATGATACGAAAATATCATATAAGGACTTCAAAACGCTTCTATCCGTTCTATATCCATTTTTATGAAATGGTGCATTATACTAGACGGCCATCTGTATTGTTACATATAGATATGAATTGTGCTGTGAAAACTAGTAATAAGTATATCGTCGAATTGGCAAATCAAGTACGTTATGATCATTGTAAATATGTATAGATGCTTGCAGCGAAATCTACCAATTATAATCGGTTCGATTTCATTCATTTAAACTGAAAAGCTACCGATTAATAGCCTTTTTATATAAATCAAAAATGTTTTGTACGAACAAGATATTATGGTAAATGCTAGATACGTAATATGTAACAACTATATATAAAATTTGCAAGTGTGATTATCTATCAAGGTAAATCAACTTAATTTATATTAATCATTATATTTATGCTTAGGCACCGGATATTTTGGTAGATTTTACAACATAGATGCGTTATTCATTGCCTAAAAATTTTATGTCATAAATCAGTATTTGATTGCGCAAAAATTTTTCTTCAATACGCAAGTAAACATGCAAATGTTAGATTAACACTCTTCTCTTTGTTATCGTTGGCCTAATTAAATTTCGTTAAATAGGCGATATACAATGCACAGCGTATAAAACCGAGTCGACATCTTTAAATCACTGCCTGAGAGATAATGATTTTTACATAGGATTAATTTATACACGCATAATGAAGTTGTATTTGAAGTTAGTCCCGCCATATATTGTGATTGATCGATGGTGATACACTATGTTTAAACCATTACGCGTAATACAATGGCATCATCTATGTTGTCAAACGATTACGAATCGTAGTTTATAATATAATTTTATGAAATATCGGGACTAAGTCGAATACATGAATACAAATTTGACATGTACACATTTGTATACATTTTGCCTAGCTCAACTGCAATTGAATGAAAATAGGAATAATAGTTAACACTTCGAAGAAGTTTGTATCATTATATCGTTCACATCATTTGTCATTTTCGTGAGCTCAGCCTCATTCTGTAAAAAGAAAGAAAAAAGAAAAACAATGTTATACATTAGTGATAAGATTTCTTCTGATTGAGGAAATTATACGCACCACTTTTTGAGGATCTCTCGAGCGTAGAAGACCGTGTATAATGGGTGTAAATAATCTCTTATCCGCGCGACTGTACTTAGACGGGCCCGTAAACCACGAGACCAGCAGGCCCACTAGAATTGTAATTAGAAAACCCACCCACGTGTACCAGAGATAAGACATTCTGTACAGGAAGAAAGGCTGTTCCCTGAAAAAAAATTAAGACTTTAAATGCGATATGATATCATACGAGAGGCGTCATTACACGGTTTTATATACACTGAGAAAAAAAAGTTGTTAATTTAACTAAATGCGTTTAGTTCGTAATGATTATTTAGTTCCAATATTTACACATTTAGATTAACAAAATCTTGTAATTTAAAATATATTATTTGTTTGAATTAACAAATTTGAACTAACAAATTAACATATTTGCTTGACAGTGACTGCTACATCTAGTTGAATCAACTAATATTTTTTTGAAACAGTAACTTTTTTTTCTCAGTGTACAAAAGCAATTTAATAAATGTACCTGACAGCGGTCTCGACGATTGTTGTGAGGTTTCCAGCAGTGATCCTTAACGATTCGGTGCATCCATCTACTGATACCGGTTTTATCGGAAAATAAATTGATCCGTCAGAGATCGCTGCTTGCGTGCCGAACGAGATCCAAGCGACCAAGTTCAGACTAACTACCGCACCGACGAGTGCTCCCTGTTCGAGTAAGAAGATTGAGTTAGGATGATCCCATAGCGAATGCAGGATTTCTTAAAATCGTTTTAATTTTAATGATAAATTCCATGATTCGCTTATGTCATAAATTTGTCATTAAAATTAATCATCGAAAATTCTAAAATATCCTGATATTACGTTAAGATTTAAATTTATATAAATGAACATATCTTCAAAATGAAGTATTAGGAGAGGCAATATGGATATTGTTTAGATATAAGTACACCCAGAGAAAGGTTTCTTCGATTCAAAGAAATGTTTTTTGCTATACGGTAAAGAAAAAAATGTCTTTGAAATTGCGTAAATTTTAATATTTGAAAATAATTTTTTTAAACCAAATAAAAAAGTTTATTTGATTTTAAAAAATTATGTTAAAATCAAAGAAATTTTTTCTTTAACCGTATAGCAAAGAAACATTTCTTTGAATGAAAGAAACTTTTCTCTGGGTGTAATAGAATACGCATATAGAACGTTGATGTCCTATTAATGAAATAAACTTAAAAGCATTTACGATGTACTTCTGTTGATTTCTCTGCAATAATCCTCTTACCATAGAATTGGCCATTGGGAACAGCATGCCCAACGTGAATATTCCAAGTAAGGGCCCGGCGGTTATTCCTGATAAGCTTTTACCAGCCTAAAAATATCAGCACGCTCTTTATTATCGCATAGATTAATCGAGAATTAATTTACGCAAGTGATCCGATATCTTGTTACCGAACGTTCGTGTACAATTACCCCCTTTATATTTTACCTGAATCAAACCACTCAGTTTTTCCACCATGAATACGAGGCCCACGCAAATGGCTCCTATTATCACAACTATTGCTTTCATTATACGACTCGCACCGACGTTAGAGATCGGCTTACGGAGACACGGCTTGATCATGTCTTCATAGATTACGCCAGACATGGAATTTAATCCCGTCGACATTGTGCTAAAGGTCAACGAGCGTTTTACATAGCCAAAAAGTAGAGCGATATACAGAGCATTATACAAGTGAGATCCTCTTTCATCTCGGTATTATATTTAGTTTAAAATTTAGCAAAGAATTTACATCCACAAAGAAAATGAGAGATACATTGATCCTGTATATTTTAATTGAGAAAAAATAATTTTCAAATATATTTTAATCTAAAAAATTAGAGCATCTAAATTCTATAGTACCTCAACGCTGCACTGAATACACCAGAAACAAATAATCCCGGTAAACCTGGTATCGCCTCTGATAATTCCATCACAAAGTATGGTAACAGCTGATCGGGCTTTCGTATTTGCTAAAATACAATTTTCATTAGTATTCGCCAAAATGTTTAATCTAAGATTTCGCATAAAATCATCCACGTTGATCATGTGATGAATTACTTCACGTCAAGATCATTTTACCTTTGTCGTAACCGGGTCGCAGTCATAAAAAGCCGCGTAAATGACGATTCCCGTATAGCAACATAACGAGACAATGCTGATTATGCCTACGGCCATTATCATAATCGCCCTAAATACAAAGGGGGATTAAATGAGTGACATGCGCCGCCGTGCGTCATAATGCATTTCTCGGACTCACACATTGGACTTCCTCAAGTTCGGCATCGCTAGGCATCGCTGCACCATCGCTTGGTTCACCGAACACGTGGCCAGCCAATTTAAATAATTGCCAACCACCACGCCCCAGAAAGTGTGCCTTACCGTAGGATCCAAGTTCATGCTGATTAAAGTAGGAAAAGGTTGAAAGAGATATCATTTATTGCTCGATAATTAGGATAACTTGATAGATTGAGTATAAAAATATGAAATAAGCATTGCGTGATTATAATAGAAACAATTATGTATAAGATAACGATAAATTAAATTAATTATAATAAAAATGTATGAAGAAATTGCTGCTAGTACTTGAAGAATTCAATCCTCCCGGAATCGACATTCCTTTTCCACACCTCCGCTACACCACCGACTCTGGCGGTACCGAGTACAACAACGGTGATAACGGCACCGAACATCATCACCGTCTGAATAGTGTCTGTCCAAACGACCGCCTTCAAGCCACCCTGAAGTGCAAAATCATGTATTTTATTATTACTGATTATCTTGGATTTTATTGTAAGTAATATACTATTCTATTTCTTTGACGCTTATTATATGGACTAACAATAAGTATATTTTTATCTCGCATTTGGCGTTAAGGATAGAGGATAATTTCTATCGATTCCCTCTTTTCTTATAAAATAAATAAAATAAATCTCTTGCATGAAATCAACTCTCAGATCTACGAATTATGTTCTTACCAACGTCGTTTTTTTTGTAGAAGATGCACACGGCGCAGACCAGTAACGCGATCGTATAGAGGTCCATTCCGGTCGCCTGATTGAAGGCTAGCGCCGGCACGTATATCACCAGAGGTATGTAAAGCAGCTGCAAGCGCAAAATTGCTCAGCGTATTGAATTGCTTGCAAGATCAGCGCGTATCGAGTTCAATACTTTGAGAAATCCTCGATATGTAAAAGATATATCGTATGACGAATACTACTAATAAGATTTAGTATATATATATATATATACATATATATGTATATACCGATTTTAAGAAGAGATTGGCAATAATATTTATGTCCAAACACAAGTGAATAAATTCTGAACACGAACTTGCTTTAAATTATTAAGAGACGAAAGTTTCCCCAAATTTATTTACATATATGTAACAGAAACAAACTTACCATTTTGATGATGAAGATGAAAGATCCCATAAGTCTAACCACTCGATTGAATCTTAACTCTAAATACTGCGAAAAAAGAATTGTTATTTTGTCAAGATTCCTTGTTATATACAGAAAGAATGATTTTGTTAAAGTATTATGTCAAAATAATTTATGTAAGACATTCAGACTGGTTGCTAGAATGTTAAAACTTTTTGCACCATTATGCTTAAACGTCCTACATAATTATTTTAAAAGTCTAACAAAAAATTATTTTCAGATCGGTATCTAACTAAATTTTTAATTACTTTATTTTTTAGCTGCTTTCAAGCAAAATTTTCAGCAAAATCGTTCTTTCCGTATAAAATTATTTACGTACTTCATAAGAAGACGTAATTCGGAGTCCGTAGAAAACCGGCAGGTACACGATCGCCATTGTAATGGATACAAAACTATCCGCGATCACGACACACCATAATTGCGTACCGTAAACGTACATTTCGGCCGGCAATCCCAACATCGCTATGCCTGACACGTAGCTGCAATTTTAAGGGGCTGTCCTTAGAATTACTCGTAATCATGCAGCATTTAGACAATGCAAATTTAAACGTCACTAATTCTCAATTTATTTCTGACAAATGGACAATCACTCAATTTAATGTCGTTAATAGCGAACGTAATTTTATGAATTAAAAGTAAATGTGCAGGAGCGACAAAGAACAATTTTGTATCATTAAAAAATCGCATTTTGCGATTATCGATGATTTAAATAAAGTGTTGATATAATATACATACATAATTTTAAT